TGCCCCACGGGCACCAGCACGAAAACTTTTTCACGATTCATTTAAGCCCCCACACATTGAGAAGGAGTGAAAGAATGAAGGTCAGACATTGGTTCATGGCCGCGCTTTTGACGATGGGTGTCGTCGCCGTTCCGATGATGCAGGTTGCATCGGCCGACGAAGCCGCCCAGCAGGAAGTCAAAGCCGAGTCCAAGGACGAAAAGCCTGCCGAGAAGAAGTACTGGCTTGGCGTGCAATTGGCACCCACGCCTGAAATCTTGGTCAAGCATGTCGAGCGTCTGAAGGATGGCGGCGCCATGGTCGCCGGCGTGGCCCCGGAAAGCCCTGCCGAAAAAGCAGGATTCAAAGCAGGCGATCACATTCTGAAAGTCAATGAAGTAACCGTTACCGCTCCGGAACAAGTCGTCGACGTCGTTCGCGATAGCAATGGCCAGGCGATGAACGTCCGAGTCCTCCGCGGTTTGGAAATCGAATCGCTCGCCGTGCAGCCGGAAGAAGCTCCTGCCGAGGCAGCTCCCCAAGTGCAGTCGATACGACGCGTTCCAACGATGCCTGGCCAACCGGGAGCTCACTTCCGTTTCTTCGGCCCTGGACAAGTCGTTCCTCCGCAATTTCGAGTTGGCCTGGCCGGAGAAGACCTGCCGCAGAATCTGATGATTCGTGTTGAAAAGCAGGGCGACGGACCTACGAAGCTGCACATCGAACGGGACGGCAAGTCTTGGGACGTAACTGAAGACAACGTCGACGAGCTTCCTGAAGACCTGCAAGGTGTTGCCAAGCGTTACCTCGAAGGGGGCGGCAATGGCAATATCATCATCAGTGGTAAAGATGTTCCTCTCATCGAACTGCAAGAGATGATGAAAGGGATGGACCCGAACATGATGCCAGGCAATGGCCAATTCGAGCAACGGATGCAGCAGGAAATGCAGCAGATGCATGAAATGATCCGCAAGATGCACGAGCGAATGGAACGCATTCAAATTGCTCCGCCTGCCGCTGAAAAGCCCGCCGCAGAGAACGAAGTGTAAAGCACACGAAGAACTGCTGATTTATCCTGGTCCTACCTCTTAAGCCAGGAGACGACAGGCCGCCGGACCGCAATCGTGGACCGGCGGCTTTTTTTGTATAACGAAGGCAACGTTCTCCGCGAAACGATCACGCCCAGTTGCCGACGCCCCTTATGAATCGAACCGATCACGATCCTTTTCAGCTTTTAGGCGAGGCGATTCAAGAGAATCCGCGGCTCGCGACGATGCTCACGCAACTTTGGCGACAGCTCGACAATTCGAAAAGCTTACCGCAACTGCTTAGCGGAATTTGCCAGTCACTGGTTCAGTCGTTTCCCAAGGCTTCGGCCCAGTTTCTGCAGCAGCAAACCTCAGGTAACTGGAAGCAGATTGCTTCGGCTGGGACGATACGCGAGCCCAGCCTCTCGCAGATCGAGACTTGGGTCCAGGGAGATGTCTCGCCTGGCAATCCGGCCGCGTTAACGTTGCCGATGGAGAACGAGCCAAATCGATTACTCGTACTCGAAGGCATTGCGGCCATGCCTATGACGTCGCTGCAAGCTATCGCCCAAGTCGCTCGATTTGCCGTGAAGCGGTTCATTGAAGCCAAAAACAAAAACGATCGCGCGACACGTCTCAAAGCAATGCTGTCGATGGTCGAACGTTGGCATCAAACCGACGACCTGGTTTCGCTGCTCAATCAAATGGCCGAATGTTCGACCGAGTTCTTTGATGCCGAACGAGCGAGTATTTTTCTATGGGATAAGCCCAAGAGGCAGCTTGTCGGTCGGCCGGCATTGGGTGTCGAAGATGGCAAGCTGGTGGTGCCGGATGATAAAGGGGTTGTCGGTGCGGTTGTGCAGTCAGGCGAACCGCGACGAGTTGACGATATGCTCGCCCACGAGGT